AAAATCAGTGTAGCGTGGTAAGTAGTAGATTAGGCTCCATGTTATTCGTTGGTAATATCTATTTAGATTAACAAAAGAGAATGCAAATTTTTTAAAGACACTAAACACTGATTAAAAAGTTACAAAGAGAGCTGTAGACCAATTAGTTATACACTAGATAATGTTATACATTGGTGTTTAGACAACTTTAATCGTGTGAAAACTTTTACATTTACACTACTAGACTTATGGTACTAATACACTGTTAGATTCCTAGTTAATTAGCTTTTTTTTCATTCCATTACTAATGTTAAATATATATATCACCTGAAATCATGGCTAAGATTCATATTGTAGATGAATGTTCTAGGTGTTGTGGAGTTTTCTGAGCTAAACAGTTTGAAGCTTTTATTATTGTTCTGAACAATAATAAGAGATGACTAGTTCATGTCAAAATAAGCCTCATAGTTATTCTGCAAGAGTTAATAGTGAGACTATAATTTATGGACGACCATTGAACGACGTCAAAGTGACCTTGTGAGTATCCACCTAATAACTAAGATCAAATGAGGGTTATAAACCAGTGTAAGGAATTAGAATTATGATTTAAGGTTGATGGGGATAAGGTTAGGAATTAGATATAGGGTTTTCATCACCAACTGACATCAGTTATAATGCCAAAACTCTATTTAGCCTAATAGATGAGTGAATTTCGCGCCAAAATCCAAGACCTGTTATCTTAAACCTGATTGGTTCGTCCATAAATTATAGTCTCTCCGAGTTAATTCAGTTCAATCTAGTTTTTTCATTTCTCAGGGGAATACTCTCAATATCACATTTAGAAATTTCTTTCTTAACTAAATTGCTCGAGTTATAAATTGCTGTTTACCTACTTATATTGTTACTGTTAGAGATTAAATCAGAATATAATTTATGATAGACAGATGGTTTGAAGTGGACTTTTCAAATTAGTCGTTTAAGTATGAGCTTTCTAAATGATACTTTATATCAATTGGAATAGTTTGTATCTACAATTTGGTTAATTTCAATAGTTGAGATCATGAGTCAGTTGAAGCTAGACAATCATAGAAACCTGGCAGCACTGGATAGCCCTTTCGTCCTAGTGTAAAACTCCTCAGCAATGCGCATTCATGATCCTGCCTTGTAAGATTCAAACCCAGGACCTATATGTCTCGCGCGCGAACTCCTAGCCTGGTTGATCTCAACCACTGAAATTATTATAATAACTACAAAAACCCTTCTGATATGAATTCGGTCGATCACTAATAGTGAAAGTATTTGATAAAAACGTGGTTATGAATTCTATTCTTAATAAGAAGATTAACCATGAAAATGTGAATCTATCGAGTTAAAGTTTGAGATTTATGACGAAACATGTTTAGTATATTTCACCAAATAATTGAATTATTTTCTTTTTGTTTTCAATCTATTTATCAAATTTAATTTGTATACAGATGAAGTGTGGTGTTTCAATGAACTAATGATACCTTTGTACTTGTTGAATGCTTGATTTCGAATTCTAAATACAGTACATTCGTTGTGGTTATCTACTACTTCTTGATCCGATTACGCTATTTCTGGGATTCTTAGTTCATCAGTCGATGTGAAGACGGAGGTTGATTATGAATACAGTGGTCTTGAGTGCTGTTAGAGGTATGAGGGCGGTTATCACTTCCCGGTTACCCACACCGTGGAACGGTTCTTCTGGAGGTACCTGAAAAGGAAATTGGATTAGAGATGGTCTTAGTGACCTGGGAGCGTGACCGCAGTGCCCAAGGGACAACTGCTTGAGGTCGGTCACACATGACCTATTTATGGGTAATTTTTGTGTTAGCTCCGTACTTGTTGAGACCTTACCGCCGGAGACAGATATCCGTGGGATAGGGCGAGGTGTGCATTTTTAGGGTCGACCTTTTCTAACCCCACCCCACCCCCTTGTGGGAAGGCAGCATCGCTGTCATGCTGGTTGTCTGAAGGAAACACATAGTGCTGTCACACCTCTGTACAGTCAGCAGTACAACTTCGCCTTCGGACCTTGGGTTTGTCGCTTTTATTCTTACCGCTCTTCAACCGACCTGTCTGACATGGTAAGACCTTGAGGAACGGTTTTTCCAGCCAGTATAGTTCGGTTGCTTCATCACGATAGGCAAGCCCGACCACCACATCAAGGTAGCAACAACGGTCTGGATTCTTAGTTCATACTATAATTCAAATACTCGTGATTATCATATAAAGCTATAGTAATTCATCAATTTAAACCTTATTACTGTATACAAAGGGAACTGTATAGTTCCCTTTTTTTATCATAGACTTAATACACATTTTAAACTTATCACTAGTTTAATATGTAACACATTTGAAATTTCACTCTTGTGTTATTTCTAACTGTTAGTGATTGTTTTCACACCAAATGTTAATACATCTTATGAAGTGATTAAGTATTTGACTCAATTTCGATTCATGTTCTTCACATTCTCTCATAGAACACTTCATACACATAGCTTTACATACTTTTGAAGTACACATAGAATACGTTCCAGTTAGAAGTGAATCTTTACAATTTCCAATTGTTCTTTTATTCTTAACATGTTTTTTGTTTTTATATTCGTCAAATGGACAATTGTTAAGTGACATATTACCATACTCTATTTTATAACAGACTATTAAATGTAAGATTAACTATTTATATAGTTGTATTGATTACGTAGATAATGTTATCAAAAAGGAAAAGAGTAAGATCAAATAACCTATTACATAGAGAATTGGAATCAAACATCAAAAGAATGAATATCGATAGGGAAAAAACACCCAACTGTAAACGATTACACAGGACAGAGTTTGATGGAGAATATTATTGGACGATTTATATCCTTTCAAGAGGGGTAACAAGCGTAAGTAATATATATATATACATATCATTTAATCAACTCTAACATTAAACGTGACTATGAAATGAATAAAGCGATTGTTCTATATTATCCAATTAATGATTCGATCGGTAGTAATTTGACAGGACAATCGATTTGAAATTCAACTCATTCTGTTTGTACTCATAATACGTTAATTTAATTGATTAAGTCAGATTGTAAACGAATAAATAGCAACTATTTTCTTTTTTTTTTCTTTGTAATTACAGCAAATATTTAGTAACTCATTAAATAGATTCTTTAATATGCTCATGAATCAATGGAGTTGAAGTAAATGCATGCTATTAATGATTTAGGATTATATTTGTACAAGTTAATTAAATGATTATAGTCCAGAATATGCATTATATGTTACTTACTTAGTTAGTTACTCCTGTTACTCCTCGTCGAGGGGAATAGACCGCCCACCAACATTCTCCATCTAACCCTGTCCCAAGCAATTCTTTGCAACTCTTTTCAGTTGTTATTCATCCTTTTCATATCTGTTTCCAATTCCCGACACAGTGTTTACTTTGGCCTTACACTTTTCCATTTCACTTCAAAATTCCAAGTTAGAGATTGCCTCGTAATGCAGTTTGATGATTTGCGTATTCTATGTACTATCCACTTACAACGTCTTTCCCTAATTTCCTCTTCAGTTGGCAGCTGGTTTGTTCTCTCCCACAGTAGGCTATTACTCATGGTATCCAACCAACTGACTTTGAGTATCTTGTGTAGACAACTATTTATAAATACTTGTACCTTATTGATGATGATTGTCATAGTTCTGCATATTTCATCTCCATACAGTAGAACTGGTTGTCTTGACGTTCATATTGAAGATTGTGACTTTGATATTGTTTGAAAGTTGTTTTGAGTTCCATATGTTCTTCAATTGTAGGAATGCCGCCCTTGCTTTGCCGATCCTCGCTTTTACATCTGCATCCGATCCTCCTTGTCCATCGATGATGCTTTCCAGGTATGTGAAGGATTCGACATCTTCCAGAGTTTCGCCATCAAGTGTGATTGAGTTGGTGTTCTCCTAGTTGTATTTGAGGATCTTGAATTTTCCTTTGTGTATGATAGGGCCTTCTGATGCATATGCTGATGCTACAGTAGTTACACACGATTTTAATTAGTTGTATATAAAACTATCAAACTAAGTAATATTGATAATTTTATAGATGACATTATAGAATGCTCTTATTTAAACAAACATTAGAAACGAGGAGTCAATGAATAGTTATTGCGCCCTAGCATGGAAATCTTCACTACTACACATCCACAACCCATCACCATCAGAGATTAAACACAAAACCTTTGCTCTCTCTCGCGAATTCTGAATCTCTAAATCATTGACAGGGAATTCAATGGTACACATTATCTAAATGCAAATAATTCATGAAATTGCACGACTATTTTTTTTTGTTTGCTATGTATGACTGTCGCTAACCGAATATGTTTGAACCGCCATGGTCACTGTTTCTCACTAAAACTCTCCACTTACTACTTGGAATTAGTCACTAATAAAGACATGATGATTATCAGTGGTGAGGTTTGTGGAGTCTAGAAAAAATGATCGACATCATAAACCTATATAAATCATGGATCCATAAAATTGAATGTTTCATACTAGGACCAATCAGATATTCAGGGCTTCCCGGTTTACAATAGTCACCTAGCTTAGACGAGTTACTGATATCTATAATATTTAATAATATCCATAAATCTCCATATTGATAGAGACTGAATTTACTAGAATTTCAATTCCTAGCAAAACCATTTTGAACTGGAACGTCTTGTATAAGTTGAATTTGTAAGTTCGATTAGAAAAGATATTTCTAACTCATTTCACAAATATCTTATGCGTTTAAATACTTGCCAATTTCCGCGTTAAATAATTCAATAATACTAAGTTCAGAAAGGGTTTTTGTGGATATTATAGTAATTCCAATAGTTGAGATCATAAGTCAATTGAAGATAACCACCATGGAAAACCTGGAAGCACTGGACGGCCGTAATATCAGGTTAAAACGCATTGAAATTCTGTAATTGTGACCCCAGAAAATAACAAAACCTGAACCGTCTGGACTGATGATGATGATGATGATGATGATGATGATGATGATGATGATGATGATGATGATGATGATGATGATGATGATGATGATGATGATGATGATGATGATGATGATGATGATGATGATGATGATGATGATGATGATGATGATGATGATGATGATGATGATGATGATGATGATGATGATGATGATGATGATGATGATGATGATGATGATGATGATGATGATGATGATGATGATGATGATGATGATGATGATGATGATGATGATGATGATGATGATGATGATGATGATGATGATGATGATGATGATGATGATGATGATGATGATGATGATGATGATGATGATGATGATGATGATGATGATGATGATGATGATGATGATGATGATGATGATGATGATGATGATGATGATGATGATGATGATGATGATGATGATGATGATGATGATGATGATGATGATGTGATGATGATGATGATGATGATGATGATGATGATGATGATGATGATGATGATGATGATGATGATGATGATGATGATGATGATGATGATGATGATGATGATGATGATGATGATGATGATGATGATGATGATGATGATGATGATGATGATGATGATGATGATGATGATGATGATGATGATGATGATGATGATGATGATGATGATGATGATGATGATGATGATGATGATGATGATGATGATGATGATGATGATGATGATGATGATGATGATGATGATGATGATGATGATGATGATGATGATGATGATGATGATGATGATGATGATGATGATGATGATGATGATGATGATGATGATGATGATGATGATGATGATGATGATGATGATGATGATGATGATGATGATGATGATGATGATGATGATGATGATGATGATGATGATGATGATGATGACAGATCTATCCACATCGATTCACATATCATTTAATAATGTTTAATCCATAATGTCAAACATTGTTGACATATAATATTTATCCGTATTTGACAATCCCTATAACAAACAATAAATACATTTCAACTATTTTGAGTGAAATGATTTCAACTGTCATTTATTATTATTTACATAATTTTATTGAATCATTGAATCATAATACAAAGAAACCACACTTTTTTTTCTCTGTCTTCATATTCATAAAATAAAATTTGCAAATCTAATGAAGATTACAATAGTGAAACATACTTCATTTTTCTTTTCGTTTCTTTTCTCTTTCTTTTGAAAAAAAAGAGAAAAGAAAAGACGTTCCATCAAGAATTTAACTTTTTTTTCTTCAAAGCAACGTGTTTTAATAAAATTCAAATTTTTTTTATTATTTAAGAATGAATATTATTAATTCAGTCAAATTATTTATGTGTAACTCTAGTTGTTGCCATGCACGTTTGTACATTTTGTGATAGAATTTTTTTATTTTTTTATTCTTTTTATTTTTTAATTTTTTCATTTTTTTTCAAGTTTTTTTTTCATATTTACTCATTCATATTGAACCATTTTTCAAATATCAATACAAAAAATGTGAAAATATTGAGTAACTTGATACGGTGTTTATTTTTTTCTCAATAAAATGTGAACGATCTTTGAGCAACACTAAAGTGACTTTGAGAGTGTTCACCTAATAACTAAAGCTAAATGAAGATTATAAACCAGTGTAAAGAATTAGAATTATGATTTATAGTTGATGATTAAGGTCAGTAGTTAGATTTAGGGTTTTCATCATGAACTGATGGATCAGCAAAGAAAGAGCAGTATATTTACAACTGAAGAACATCTGGAACTCAACAACTGTCAACCAACACCAACGTCAGGATTTTCAATACAAATGCCAAGACAGTTCTACTGTATGGGACGGAGACTTGGAGAACTACGAAAGCCATCATCCAGAACATACAAGTGTTTATTAACAGCTGTCTACGCTAAATACTTCAAACCCGTTGGCCGGACACTATTAGCAACAACCTACTATGGAAAAGAACTAACCAGATCCCAGAGGAGGAAGAAATCAGGAAGACGCGATGGAAGTGGATAAGACACACATTGAGGAGAACACGGAACTGCGTCACGAGGCAAGCCCTAACATCGAATCCTGAAGGCCAAAGGAAAAGAGGAAGACCAAAGAACACATTAGGCCGGGAAATGGAGACAGGCATGAGAAGAATGAACAAGAATTGGATAGAACTAGAAAGGAAGGCTCAGGACAGAGTGGGATGGAGAATGCTGGTTGGTGGCCGATGCTCCATCGGGAGTAACATGCGTAAGTAACTAAGTAAGTAATCACGAGCTGACAACAGCTATAATGTCAAAACTTTATTTAGCCAAATGGATGGATGAATTTTGAGCCAAAATTTGAGACTTGTTATCTAAAATATGATTGATTCGTTCATAAATTAGTCTCACCAAATGTATATTTCGTACAATACAATATTGTAGAAATTGAATAAATTTTTTTTGCACTGCCTTTGTTATTATACATTGTGAACTGAATAACTATTATTAATGGATAGTTTATTATTTCGAATGTTAAGGAGGAAACTGCTGATGTATTTCTAATAGTCAGTCATCTACAACGTATGACCAGGCAAATATATACATCGGTCCAAGTTTACATACATCATTTGTACAATAAAATGAACACCAAATTCATAGAACTAGTTAATTCAGTCGTAGCAATATATATATAAAAGATCGTATATAAGGATATGATACAGGGAAAAAGAATTACTTCATATAAGGAAAGGTATAAAGTAAATTTAATCTCACGGTTTAAGGGAAGACAAAGAGTGCATATACCAACGCCTTTGTGGTCGATTCTCAGACATGTCGTCCAAGTTATTAGTATTAAAATGGACACTAACTTAAACCACAACTGAAATAAACTTTTTCATCTTGGGAGTAAGTAAAACGATTCAAGCACTCCGATATTTCATATCAACGTATCGTGACATGGCAAAGCAATTGTTGTGCCCATTGACAACATAAGTTAATTTGGCCTAAGAACAATAAAATATCAAACTGCACTTCTGAAATACGTTACACAAACTGAAACGCACTTTTTCACTTAATATAAATCAAACATTATTAATACTTATGTTCATAGGGTAGGTAACTTCGGGACGTTATACGTAGTACAGGAAGAGAAAATTAGAAAGAAAAGTATAAAGTAGGTTTAATCTCATAGTTTAAGTGAAGATAGAGAGTGTATATACCTATGCCATTGTGATCGATTTTGTGCCGTGTCACACAGTGTCCAACCATTGGTTACGATGGTCACGCGGACCCCAACCAAGTAGCCTGCATCTGCCAACATGGCTAAGACTAGAAGTTAGTGACTTCGAGAATTGATGCCACGTTTTGATTTGACCGCCATTAACTTACTTCCAACCATACGTTATTGTTCTAAAAATAAAATATATCATATATTTGAATTCCTTACAATTGAATTGTAATAAGTGTTATTTTTGTCTAGTCTAATCGAATATGATCGAACATGTTGCAATGAGATCACCAGTCAGAGTGACTTGGACTTGTGTGTACTATTTCCATAAGTTAGGTGATTTCAATTAATCGACAAGAAACCTTGAACCTAGATCTTTGTGTTAGCCAGAATTCATCAGGAAGGGGTATATGTAATTTTGCAGGAAGTGATATTTCCACAAGGATTAAAATATTCAGTGCACAGCTTCACAGTTTCAGATGTTATTACAGAGCTATTCAGTTGACCATTGACCTTCTACAGCTTAGTAGTATCGTCGCCCAACCATAAAAAACCGTGTAACAATTAAATTCCTTCACAAATTTACCACTACTTCTAACAAATAAGTGAATTGATGTCATGAAAGCCACACCTTACAAACTTAGGATGCATCACACTTAAATACTGCTCACTTGGGGTAATACACTTTTCTCTTTATCGTTTACATTGTTCGAAGATCCTAGGAAGTGTCCGAAAGCCAGACTCTTCAGCTGTCTTGTTGTCCTTTCATGGCTCATAATACCTAGATTATCCTACCCCAGTCTGTCAAAAACATTCATCACAGCAGGAACAAAATGTAATTGTAAAGAGCCAGATATGCTGACTAGAGACTGCTATTTAGAGTATGGTGATTGAATTACAATAAATTCATTTCATTCGATATTTTAGAACAAAAAAACATCATTTAAAAGTACCTAGACTTAATTGTATTTCATAACGATCTCTTCACAACTACATACATGTTATTAAGTTCGGTTAATCTGAAAACTTTTTATGAGTATAAACTTAGAAATTATAAATGAACTGTTCATTAGAGTATGATAAATTATCTAGAATTGTAATTTTGTTGTTGTTCCCAGGTTTTTTTTTAAATCCAGTGATAATTCAATGGTTGAGATCATGAGTCAATTGAAGCTAGACCAAAACCTAAAAACACTGGACGGCAGTTTCGTCCTACTATAGGACTCCTCAGCAATGCGCATACATGACTCCGCCTCGTGAGATTCCAACCCAGGCCCTATCGGTCTCGTGCGCGAACACTTAACCTCTGGACCGGCCAGCATCCAACGGTGTTAATGTCTAACTTCAAACAATACACGAAATTGAGCGACACATCTACCATTGTCTTCAGTGAGTTACTATCTCACAACAGACCAGGTTGAACTCGACTGGTCACTGCTTCTCACTAGAACTCTAGGAAATACCTCTTGAAGCCAGTCACCAGTGAGCATATACTGATTCATATCAGAAGGGTTTTGTGGATATTATAGTAATTTCAATAGTTGAGATCATGAATGTGCACTTTTGAGGAGTCCCACAATGGGACGAAACAGCCATCCAGTGCTTCCAGGTTTTCCATGGTGATCTAGCTTCAATTGACTCATGATCTAAACTGTTGAAATTGCTATGATAACCACAAAATCCCCTTCTGATACCAATGATATTTATTTAAAACATCTGCTTGACCAAACTTATTAACTTGTATACAGCTGTATTACTCAGTTGTATACTCAAAAAAGTGTTTTAGGCATTTCTCCACTAATATACCCTAACGTTATACACCTCTTTTTCATTTATAATTTAATAAACATTAAATAGTAACCAATAGTGATCGGATTCTATAAATTAGATTGTAATGAGACCATTAGTCTAAATGACTCGATATCCTGTATAGTATGTCAGAGGTAGTAGAGAGTAAACTGTGCAAGTCAGTTAACACCAGTTAACGACAAATCATACATATTAACGTTTAGGTTTTCTGATGACGACCTCCAATCATCTTACACTTCTGTTATATAGTTTTACACAAACTCTAAATTTAAAAAAAAATAATGATAGAAAACACAATTTGTAAGTATTCATTTTATCTTCTGTTGTGTTAGACTGACAGTTTATCTTGAAAAGTAATGAATGCTTTGGTTTATCAATACTATGGAAGTGAAAAATTCATTGTCACCGTCAACATCTACTCACCTATTCAACTCTTAAAAGTATCTTTACTTCACTTGTTCACATATTTTCATAGAAAACATAATGATATTTTAAGTTTCTAATCAGTTCTCATTCATTTATAGTCATAAACACGTGAATACAAATTAGGTTTATTTTAACTTATGATCAACATTTGATAGACATGATTATTGTAGTAGCCTGTTTCAACCTGTTTCTAATCATGATTGATAAGTTATTATAATCAGAGTTAATAGATTTCTTTGATTATATCAGTGTGTGGCTTTAATAGTTGAATTCATGAGTCGATGTTACCTAAGCTTTAAGATGGATTTTCTGGAGTTCTAGTGAGAAACAATGACCAGTAGATTCCAATCCGTATTGGGCGTGAAATAGTTATCCACCTCAGACAATCGATGAATGGTTGAACAAGATCATAGATCGATTGAAGTTAAAAATTAACACTGCTGGATGACGACTCAGTGGTCTAGAGGTAAAGCGTTCGTGCGCGAGATCGAAGGTCC